TTTAGCTAAAGAATATATTTTATTATAGCTTTTTCTTTTATATTTATAAGTTTTTTTTAAATTAGATATAGAATTATATTATATAATTTTGTTATTATATTAGTTATATATAGTTATTTAAGGTATATTATAAATTAATATAGCTTTTTATAGCTTAGTTTTAGATTTCTTTTAAGAGCTTAGAGGGTAAGGATAATACTTACCTCTTTTAAAGGGATTTTTATAAATAGTTATTAAGTAATAGAAGTACTAAGATAAAAAGTACTAAAAACTAGGTAAAGTAGGTAACTTACTTATCTAGGTAACTTACTTATGATTGAATGAATTTATATAATATTATATTTAATTTTATTATAAATAATTGATGATTTTTATAATAATATTAATATAATTTTTATCTAAATATTTAGATTAAAAGATTTACTTTACTATTTAATTAGAAATAATATATTATAAATAAATCTTATTAAATCTTTAGAGTCTCTCTAAGGTATTTTCAATAGTTAAATATAGATAACTTATTACTATCTAATATAAGCTTTATTAGTAATCTTAGATATACTACTACCGCCTTCAGAATAGTAGTAGCCCTAAATAGGTAACGCGTGTGCCGCCGCTTCGCCTACCTACCCCTACTTAAGGCGTAGCTAGAAGCGGTAATTCGCATATTAAAAACTCGCGTCCGGTGCTGTGCTGTAGCGTTTGTAACACTCTGTACGCCAGCTCATTTTTTCATATAAGCTCCAGCCACTTGATGTGAGGTGTTTTTGTGCCTTGAAACGCGCATACGGCAAAGCAACTGAAGGGCTAATGCGTACACACATTACATACGCCTAAAAGGAGGACCTCTTGATAGTCTTACCTTTCACACAACGCATGAGTCAATGACAGAGTCAAATATCAGAGGAAGGTTTCGGACCTAGGGCGGCCAACGGTAGCCCCACTGAGTGTTTTGATGAATTCAAGGTGTCGGGAAGCTCCTCTAGCTTCCGCGAAGACTAACCCGCCGCGAAACTTCAACGGTAAACACCATGGACCTTCCGCGGAATGAAGGTGGAATGCGACTCGCCGATGCCTGGTCGCATTCATACCCGGCCCAGTAGACCACGTTAGTCGTCAATTCTATACTCATATCCTTTGGCTTTGGTAGCAAGTTACTACCAACGTACGCGCTGAGCCACGATCCACAAGTCAAGCTTTGACGCTGCACTGTGGATTCGGATCCTCGGTTCGCGACTACCAACAAACGACTTTTATTCGTCAGTCTGATCATTGTCTTGAAAATGCTGTCGTGCTCCGTGTAGAGGTGCCTTGGCCTGCCAATAACACTGGGTAGGGTAAATCCGGTCGGTACGAAGCATCTACGGAGTCACGGAGCTCAGACACATCTGCCGTCCATTCAGCGTCCAGACGTTTGGCACCCGGATCCGGCGCAGGCTCCAATTCGCACCCCATTGTAGTGGGGCCTTGCTGTAGATAAGCTGGATGCCTGCCCTCCCAAGTCGTGGAAGCTCACATCCGCCAACTCAGTGCTTGGAGACTTTCTATATTCCGATTCCTTCGCTACAGCGTCAAACTTTAGATGCCAAACATGGCGCGGCATTTTACCAATCTCGATTATCAAGCTGAGGTCGACCTCCTCACTCGATTGGGTACGCGCCTGACTGGGAGCGACCAGCACCAGGAGCTCGTGAACCATCTTGAGACGCGTTTGAAGGACATGGGGTATGAGGTCCATTCAGATGAATTTTCCTTCAAGTACATGCCGCCTTTTACCAGCCCACCAAATCTTGTCGTGGATGAGCTTCCAATCGACATCTCCTCCGTCTTCCCTTATAGTGGCTTCACATCACCAGAGGGAATATCTGGCCAGCTGGTGAAGTTGCGTGGGACATTATCGCCCTGGTCTTCCGCCCGAGGCAATATTGCTGTCGTGGAAATCAGTAACCCGAGTATCTCATTTGGGGCAATAATCAAGGTGTGGGAGGGGTCGCAGCCTTGGGGCCTGCAAAACAATCCTCTGCTTCCTGCAACCATTGCCGGCGCTTCTATCGCCAAGGCCAAAGCAAGCGGCGTTCAGGCGGTGATTTTTGCCTGGGATGGAACCATATCGCCCGCTGCTGCTGTCAATCAGTACCTTCCTTTTACCTTTGATTACCAAAACATACCTGTGGTATTCACAGCAGGGAATGCGAGCAGAAGAGTCATCGAGGCGTCGGAGCAAGGTAAAACTGCAACAATTGCATTGCCGTCAGCCGGACTCGAAGATACATCTTCACGAACGATTTGGGCAGTGTCGGAAGGCGAGAAATGCGATGAGACTATCCTCGTCGTCACCCACACAGACGGCATAAATGTTGTCGAGGAAAATGGCCATATTGGAGTGCTACAACTTGCACAAGATGTCCTTGCGGCAAAGCCACATCGCACGCACGTATTCGTCTTCGTGTCCGGTCACATGCGCATCCCTTCTGTGACTGAACATGGCCAGGCCACGACAAAATGGCTGCAGGATCATCCCGAATGGTGGCGAGGGGAACATGGCGAGCGAAAGGCAATTGCAGGGCTTGTTATAGAGCATCTTGGTGCTATGGAATATATTGATGATCCGGCCGAAGGAGTGCTCAAACGGACTGGTCGACCGATGCGGGAGATTTTGTATGCCAACACGCAGGAACTCGCGACGCTATTGAGTAACGAGTGGAACGGCATGGAACTGGGACAGCCTTCTATTTCGCAACCTTCGGCATTCATTCAGTTTGGGGAAGGTGAGCCACTGTCTCAACTGTCCATTCCAAATGTTGCATTAGTGACGGCACCCATGTACTTGCTCGCAGCATGGGAGGGCGATGAGAATGAGTTAGTTGATCTTGCGGGCATGACAAGACAGATAAACAGTTTCCGCAAGCTCCGTGAGCTAGCTGAGAAGATGGATGCAGAAGCATTTGGTATCCCCATCAGAGCCAGCCCGATTCAATACGCTTTTCAGGGGTTATCGTTGGCGATGGCCGCGGGAAAATCTTGGCTTGGACTGAATCAGTAATTATTTCTAATTACATTCTATTCAGCTGCTCATAGTATTACTTATATTAAAATAAATAAAAGTATTAATAGTATTATATAACTACTTATATAACTACTAATAAAGAACTAGATAATTTTATAACCTTATTACTTATGAAGATATATAGCTAGACATTAATACGTAAAAAGAAATATTATAATATAGCTAAGATAGATATAGACTACTCTAGTAGGCCTATATACTATAGTCTTAGTTACTGCCGATAGTCTACTAGACTACTGCTGGACTACTTTGTCGTTCGTAGTAGTACCCTAGACTAGTAAGTCATAGGCCTTTATATCCTATTATCCCGATAGGAGGGAAGGGGTAGGGTTTAAGAGCCGTAGCGAGAAATATTATAGATAATTAAAGTAAGGGTTCTTATTATATAAGTCTTAATATTAAAGTTCTATTTACTTAGCTATACTAGGTATAGATTTTATACTAGTATATTAAGTACTAAAGATAACCTTCTTAGTAATAGCTTAGTTATATAAGTTCTTAACGTTTTACTAGCTATACTAGAATAGTTATAATACTTATAATAATATTAGGTAATATTAAAAATAAAGAACTATAAACTTAGGAGACTACTATATAAATCTTAGAACTTAATATTATATATAAAAATTATATAATAATCTTATAGCTAGTAAGAATTACGCTTTATTATCTATAATAATTCTACCTGTACTCTATATAATCGTCCTATATAGGCGTTATATATATCCTTAGATTGACTTAATAATTCAATAAGCTATTATATAACCTTATATCTTTTAATTAGGCTATAGGGTGTGCCTGCCCTAGCGGTTCGGCTTAGCCCCGTGTCTATACAGCAGCGTTCGTAACATTAGGTTATTTGGTCGGTCTGGATAGTCTAGTGGTTAGGAGCCTGGATCTAAAACGAAGCGCTAAGACGTCTACCCTTGGCTAACTGTCGAATCGCTCTGCCCCGGAGGTAAAACTTGTATATGGTACAAAGAAAACCTAAACAACGGATGGTATAATAACCTTGGGCGTAGCTATACGCCAAGTTTCAGGGATTCTGATGACTCTGCTGCGGCGAGCAATTATCATCATTATATACTACGCCGCGAGTCGCACATCTGATAATGCGACATGCCAAGAGCTTGAACGTCTAGAGAGTGCTCTATGGTGTGTATATATGTATGATTCCATAGGATGATGCTATTCTACAGTTAAATGTGGTCCGCTGTCAGGGCAGCGTGAATTGCCATTAGCCCGCTCCTGTGGATAGACGGTCTGCGAGTCATTTGCTCATACATCATATCACTTAGCTTCATGTAAGGCATCCCGGAAGCCGTTGCGAGGGTGAGCGTGTCGTGGCCGGTAATACCGCAAATCGGGTCTCTACTTAAGCGGGCATGATTGAATTTTTCAGTGGCAAAGAAGTTGTTCTGCTCTCGGTCTTGCTCTGTCGCTCGCGGTACTCGGGAGAAACTATCTCCTGGTACCAGCTTGAGGAAGGGGTGGGTATGGCATTGACAGCAACGAAGTATAATAAGAAGTGACTAAAAATGGCGAGTGTTAGGGTATTTTGAAAACAATGTGGTTGATAATGAACGAATTGTTAGTATTGAGCAACAGTGGTTGATAAGTGGCGTAGAACATTGTACTCGGCCACGATAGTTAGGTGAGCACTCTGGTGTTTCACCCGGGTAGCAAGGTCAATCTTGCGGCTGCGGACGGGACAACGTTGCGGTTTTACGATTTGTATCAGAAAGGGCGGCATTTAGCGTTCTTCATGGTGTGAATAAATGGTTTATAATGTGGGTTCTCTGCGATGAACGCCAACTACTAGAACCTCCTATGCTCAGAATAGGATTGATTTCGCCAGCGCGCGCTGCTCGGTGTCATTACTACGGGAAGCACGGATATGAGGGTAAATGTATGCATTACATAGTAGAAGCTGCAAAGTACTGAGAAACTTGGCGCAATTTTATCATGACGTCGTATTCTGGGTCACGTTCTTGGTCATCTTCTCGTAAGCATACAGCCACGTAACACTATATACAATAAATTGAGGCATAAGAGCGCGTTTCCCATGAGCCATCATCCACGGGACGTCGGCGGGATGTCGGTGGTGACGACTAGGATTATGACACGAAGCATACTCTGTAGAGGCGCGGCATCTTGGCGGAAAAATCATTCCGTTGCCACTGGCTGAGCTGCATGGCCACCAGCGTCGCGGCTGGGACGGCAGACCGCAAAGTAATGGTGCGGCCTCCGGCACCCCTGCTGGCTCCCGCCATCGGATCAAGTTTATCTACCTTGATTGGTCTACGTTGCTTTTCCCCTAGTGTTTGGCCGGAAGGTCTTTCTTCTCGCTAAGCCTCATATAGCCATGCATCCCCGGCTGAAACCGAAACGGCAGGAGCACTGCCAGGCTAAGCTTCGGTATCCTCCGAGTTAATGCTAGATCCCCGTGTGGTGTGGTGACAGAATCAGGACCATATCCTAGCGCGAGCCTTATGTAGCCGTACACTGGAGGGGAAAGTGACGGTCGATCTGATAATGCAGCGCTGGATTTCGGTCTCTCGTTGCTCTTTCGCTTCAGAACACTTGGCATAGCGGCCAAACCGTGTTTTTGAGATATTTCACTTACACTCGACACGGAAAATAAGCTGCAGTGTCGTAAAAATGAAGAAGAAGGAGTACCCTGCTTTGGAATTTGTCAAGTAATAGGAGCAACTCGCGACTCACTGTGGATACGAGAAGCAGGCCTGGGAGTTGTTCCGGGTTGTCGGCGACTCAGTGACGGGTAGAACAACGTTGAAAATACCCACTCTCTCATCCCGCTCTAGTGGGCATATTGGCAAAGCTAATGCTTTGTTGTTTGCAGGTACTGGGGTTTGTTGACAATGACGAGAATCATCTGTAAGTCGACCCGCGAGTCGCGAGTCCCCTATACTTGAAGAAGCTTAAGATTCGGGAATGAAGAAGAGGGAAATTAGATTTATGCTTGGTGACCTTGTGTTTTGCACACATTGATCACTGTGCCCGTGAACCACCGCAGAATATAAATACGGCACCGGCCAACCTCCTAGGAGCTGGTATCAGTACACAAAAGCATATAAGCTCAGCTACAAGGCAATCAACTCCATCCTTTCCTTTCATACCTCATAGTTCCATTTATTCAACGACATGTTTATTCGAAAGGCACTCATTACCCTTGTTGGGGCGGCTGCCGCAGTCCAGGCTTTCCCTGGCAGAGTGAACGAAGGTAGGACGGACGCTCTTCGAGATGACATGCGACATCGCCCACGGCGGCTAACTTGTTGATTAGCTGCAGAGCTCTCCCGACGCGGCCTAGAGAAAAGCGGACTTAAACGCTTCGAGATTGTCAAGAACTTCATTGCCCCCGGCGACCTGCTTGCCCGCTCCGGCGCGCCCTTTTACGACGGCTCGGACGCGTCCCAGAAGATCACGAACGAGACAATTTTATTTTTCAAAGAGGCCGGCATTCAGCACGTCATCAGCCTCAACAGCCACGCCGACGCCGAGCACATGAAGACGGCGCTCGCCGACGCCGGCATCGCCTACACGCCCCGGCCCGTCGTCGACTTCCAGGTCCCCACACCCGAGGACTTCCAAAAGGGCTGGGAGGGCTTCGTCGCCCACCGCAATGGCACGCTGGTCTGGTGCGGCTTCGGCTGGGGCCGCACCGGCACCATGGTGTCGGCCCTGCAGATCTACGCGCAACACGAGCGCGGCGAGACACTGGCCTTTACCAACAGCGACTTCGCCAACAACCACGTGGAGACGGACGAGCAGATGACGGCTCTGAATGAGCTACAGGAGCGCCTTAAGAAGTCTACTGTCCCGTCCCCGGCTACCACATTTTCGGCTGCTCGTGTGCAGCCTGTGGCGACCAAGCAGCCCGGCCCCAAGGAGATGGAGACGACGCTTTGCGCGCCCGAGGGCAAGCCCAATACCTACGGCATGAAGGAGGACGAGTGCCGTCGCCAGGTTGCGCAGTGCGTCTTTGAGCTGTCGAAGCTGAGCACTCCCATCACCAGCTTTGACCCCGTTGTTGCTTGCATGGACGACAAGTTTCTGAAGCCTGCGGCCGCCAGAGCCATCTTTGCTTAGCTACTGTATAGCGGACAGATTTCAGGAACCACCAGGTAGCTTGCCCAAAGGTTTCCAAGCCTATAAAAATTAGTCAAAAGGTATAACAGTGTGAAGAAAGGAGGAAGAAGAGTCGAAACAGAAAAATGGGGAGTTAATTTAGATAATTTTGAATTGATTCCCCAAGTTGGCTCATCTCGAGATACCCATTGTGCAGTGTAAATAACCAGTATCACACCAATCGGAAATGTAGTTGGACAGAGTTCGGCGCGTCTACCAGGCGAGGCGGCGCTTTGCAAGGTGATAACGTCTCCCGCGCACTCAAGACTTTGATGACCAAGATGGGCCACAAATGGGGTGTCAAGTTCATTGCTGGGCGTGGGAGTGAGAAGCAGAAAGACGGCGATGCTGCTGCTGCGACACCAATACCACCGGTGGTACAGTGGCAGGTCGGCGACTGGAGACCCAGCGAGGAGGTCATGAGTTTGTTCGAAAGCCTAGGACGGCAGGAGTGGCTCGATCTCCAGTGGGACAAGTATAGATATACGGCGGGACACGACTTGCTAGGAAACAGCGAGTCTTCACCTATATAGTCGGGTAGGTAACCGGAATCCTTTATTGGGTATTCGAAGAATACTAAGTGAGATGGGTAAGTCTTGTATGCCAGGCTGGTACCGACAAGGGGGGCGACGTACATAAGATGCTAGTAGGAGGTACAAAGCGAGGGGCTAAAAGATCCGTAGAGGTTCACTTGGACCAGAGATTCGGTTTATTGTGTCTAAGAGGGAATTGAGCCTCTATTCATTAGTTAAAGACCCTCCATCGGTATAAGCGGCGAACTGTCCGAAATCGGGGTTCAACCCGTCGACAGGCGAAATTGAGGGGCGACACCCCCACGATTCAACAACCCAATACGTGGGGGAACACGACGAACAAAACTCTGGGAAAGTCATAATAAAACTTACATACTGTACATCAGTTAGATCAATTTCCTTTCAAACACTGTAATCGTTCCTCTACCTAGCTTCAAAAATGGGCAAAATCACCGACATCAAGTACTACCGGGTACCCCCACGCTGGCTTTTTGTCAAAATCACCAACGACGCAGGCAACATTGGCTGGGGTGAAGCATCTTTGGAGGGCCATACTCAAGCAGTAGAAGGATGTCTCGACGCATGGATAGATCAATATGTCGGACTCGAAGCAGAGCAAGTTTTTTTTCCTTGATGCGCTTCCCGTCAACAACACCCCGTGCTAATACTTGCAAAAGCGACATTGAGCATATTTGGCAACTGTCATGGCGCAAGACGTTTTACCGTGGAGGCCCGGTCTTTCTGAGTGCCCTGTCCGGACTGGACATTGCCCTTTGGGACCTCAAAGGTACCATCCGTCCGCCCAACCCGTCCCGTCCCCCGTCCACTGACCCAACTTCTCCTGCAGCCCGGAAACTCGGCGTGCCAATCTACGACCTCCTCGGCGGTAAACTGCGCACCAAGCTCAAAGTCTACGCCTGGATCGGCGGCGACCGCCCCGCCTCCGTCAAAAGCGCCGCGCGCGCGCGCCAAGCTCAAGGCTTCACGGCCGTCAAGATGAACGGCACCTCGGACCTCGGGTGGCTAGACTCGCCCTCTGCGCTCGACAGCTGCGTCGAGCGCGTGCGTGCCGTCCGCGCGCTCGGCCTCGACGTCGGCGTCGATTTCCACGGGCGCGCGCACCGACCAATGGCCAAGCAGCTAGCCGCGGCGCTGGCGCCGCTGCGGCCGCTGTTCATCGAGGAGCCGCTGCTGGCGGAGCACGTCGAGGGCGTGGCGGCGCTCGCGGGGTTGACGACGATTCCGGTCGCGCTGGGCGAGCGGCTGCACTCAAGATGGGACGTGAAACCCTTTCTCGAGGCCAACTGCGTGGATGTGCTACAGCCGGATTTGTGCCATGTGGGCGGCATCTCGGAGCTGCGCAGGATTGCGGCCATGGCTGAGGCGTACGATGTGCCGATTGCGCCGCACTGTCCGCTGGGGCCGATTGCGCTCGCGGCGTGCATGCAGGTGGATGCGGCGACGCCGAATTTTGCCATTCAGGAAATGAGTCTCGGCATTCATTACAATGTAGGGGGATATGACCTGCTGAGCTACATCAAGAACCCAGAGATTTGGCAGGTTGAAGATGGTTACGTCAATCTCATGACTGGGCCCGGGCTTGGCATTGAGGTTGACGAGCAGCGAGTCATGGAAGCAAGCAAGAATGCTGAGCCATGGGTGTCTCCAGGCTTCATTGGGCCTGGAGGCGAGCTACGCGAATGGTAGCGGCAAAGCATCGTGGGGTATAATCTGATTCATTTCTGGAATCATGCAACTAACCACTAGTGGTGTTGATATAAATCGCTAAAAAAACAAAGATATAGATGTGCTACCTCGTGTAATTCGTGAGAATATTCGTGTTGCTTATCCGATGGGCGCGCAAGTAAAAACCTTGCCAACATTGCCGAGACTGTAGTTGTGCATCTGGACATGGTTAGCGCTTGTCCTCATCAGGTTGTAATTCGAATTTGCTTACAATGTCAACGATGCTAGAGTAAGTGCCTCCGACCAGCACAACGAGGCCAACGACAAAGGCTAGCAGGTTGAGCAAAGCCTTAACGCGGTTGTGGGGAGCCCAGACAGGACCTTCCTTGATGAGCATAACCCACATGATGGGAGGAAAGTAATAGGTGAAGCCGGAGACGAAGAGCGACGAAGATATCGATAGTAGATCCGAGAAGAAAGGAATAGACTCGGCAATGATAAAGGCCAAGACAGTGACGGCAAAGACAAGAAACAACCAAGTGGCCCAGCCCTTGGGCGTATTGATGTAGCGCGTGACCGAGTTTTTGTAGACACGGCCGTGAATGTACCGGCCGACGACAGTGGTGTTGATGGAGCCGGAAATAAAAATGACAGGCAGGGCGACACCAAAAGCAATTCGCGAGACGGTGTCGCCGGCGGACAGTAGAGCAGGAGACTTGACGTCAGGACCGACAAAGGCGTAAATGAGAGCACCAGTCAGCGAGTAGATGCTTATTTCGATGAGACCAAGGGCCCAGATGGACTTTTTGTAGTCGGTTGGCGTATGCATTTCGTCCATGAAAGAGAACTGGCAGATGGAGAAGGAGTAGGCAAATACAATGTTGGTGACGGAAATGAAGGCGTCAGCAAAGCTAAGGTCCTCTTTGGGCCAAGCAGACCACGGCACGTTGTGCAGACCAGGCGACTTGGAAGCCTGGACACCGGTGGCAATGATGGTGATGCCAATGGCCAGAACAATGGAGACAAAGTCGATGTATCCGAGAATGGCAACTTCGGCAAAGGACGGAGGAATGGCTAAGATGAGTAGGATAATGGCAGACACACCACCGAAAACTAGCGAGCAGGTGCCAGTCTTGGTAATGTCGATGATGTTTCCAAAAGCAATGGTGCCCGTCAAACAGTGAGAACCAACCAGAAAGATGAGCTGCAGGACAAACATGGCACCAATCACTTCATAACCAAAGCGACCGGCAATGAGGCGACCGGCATCAGCATAGTGGGCAGCTTCGGGAAACTTGATCTTGACCTGACCAACGACGTCAGAGGTATAGATGGCCAAGAGACCAAGTCCAACGGAGACGATGGTACCGGCAACCATGCCGAGGTTGGCAAAGGCCTTGGGCAAGCTGAGAGAGCCGAGGGCGATGGCTTCGACAATGAGGATAATGGTGAGGCGCTTCCAGCCGAGACGGCTGAAATGCGCCTCCCCCTGGGCGGTTTTTTGCTTTTCGAGGTCGGCGCGCGACAGGTTTTCGTCGTACTCGGTGATTTCACCGTAGATTTCATTTCCCATGACACTGTTATCCTGCGACGAGTCGGCCTGCTTCTTGGAGATGGAACTGTCTGAGACAGCACCATCGCGCTTCTCAACCGTGCCCGACATGATGATGAGATAAAACCGCAGTAGTGAGTGTTGTTGTATTAAGAACTGTGTAATGAATACAAAGTAGGAAAAGTCGGAAGCTATAGTGTGTCTCGATAGGCGTCCACCACACTTACACACAGCAGGGGAAGGAAGGGCTTGGGTGACTTTGGTATGAAAAAAGGATGCAAAGATGCGGAAGAGTGTGGGGGAAGATCAGAGAGGAGGAAGAGGAACAGAGTCGTATTTAACAAAAACCGTGTTCGTCCCGGAAAGTTTGGGGAAAGCCCAGATGACAACTCCAACAATGCCTTTTAGCGTCAAGGGCCGGGGGGGCACTCAAAGGTAGAAGGTGTGGTGGTGGGGAGGAGGCTTGCAGGCTGAGGCTAGAACCGAAGCAGGGGGGGGGAGGCTTTAGTTAGTCTGATGCCCAGAAGAGGGAATTGGAAAAGTAAGCCTAGCGCCGGGCGGAGGATGTAGAGAGGAAAAGGGAGATTTGTAACAAGATGCAATTGACAGGGAAAGGGAAACAAGAAAGAGAGAGAAAAGGTGAAAAAGTTGAGAGGACCTGCTTGCCCTAATCCGACAGCTGACTAGGTGATAATGACAGTGGGCCAGCTTGGCTGGAGCAGCGTTATCAGCAAGACTGGACGAGAGCCACCTGGTCAGACGATATTGAAATAATATGTTGCCAATTCTTCCCTTTTTGCCTGCTGATTGCCCATCCCATTTCACTGCTTTCCCATCCCTCTTGACGTTTGCATGCTGTGCATGTTGCATTGTACCGTTTCTAGCGTTGGTCTCTCTATTTACAGCGTGTGTGTGTGTCTCTCCTAGTCGGCGCTTGCGGCATTCGTAGTTCCCAAGAGACGACGCGGTGAGACAAGGAATGAACTGTTTTGGTTGCCACTGACGACACCAAAATACCCCGGATCTGGGCTGGGCTGAATTTGTCTCGCCCTCTTTCCCTCTCTCTCCTCCCCCGCAACCCTCGGACGGCGCAGATATTACAAAAGATGCTTTCGCCCGAGATGCCGTGCTGCTCATTGGCTCGTCTTCCACGACGACGACGACGATTTGCACCAGGCTGCGAAATTTTATGGAAACTATTCGTAACGAATATTCAAATTCCAGGGGGCGGGGGGGCGGCGAGCATGCACCCCAAAAGCATAGTAGTGCCGGGCAGGCTGCTGCCAGGCAGGAGAAAAGAGGGCGAAAAGTCCGCGTCCACCCAGGCCGGGCACACTCCATAGCCACCATTCGCTTCTCAATGTCACATTGGCGTTATTGGACTCGGCCAGTTGGGCAACCAAAGCAGCCCATGACCTTGCTGATGTGGTAATGCCCACTTTCAAGAGGGTAATAGTGTGTGGACCGCGAACAGCCAGCGAGGCCAGGCATCAGGGCAAAGGAAAGAGGGGGGGGGGGGGCGCCTTGGTTCTCGCGCTGGCGAGGGCCCGTTACACTTGCGCGGCGAAGAATGGGGAACAGGACCCCAATAACTATTGGCAACTACCTAATATCAAGCCAAAGTCTTGCCATTGGGATCCAAAATGCCTCGTTTCCCACTGCCCCTAGCCCACCGAATAAAGTCGTCGGACGGTGCGATTCTGGGGAAAATATTAAGCCCCAAACCCCCCTACTCGGTATAAAATTTGTTTTTATGGGACCATTTACGCTGCCCACCACTCTCGAGTCATCTGATTCGAGTGTGCGCTGTCAGTCATGCCTACTCATTCGCTATTTGTTGTTCTGTCATTGTCGTCTTGACGTCGGAAAAAACGCCAGTGAAAAAAAAAATTTCTCCTAGTAGCCGCCTTTGCCTAGCCGATTTCCGACACCGTCGCACTATGGCCCAGAGAATTCCCCGATGCGGCCTGCCAAGTTTTGTGGCTTTCTCGGAAACACGGCCTCTAGCAATTTTGTACGTGCGACGCGACCGCCGCCCAGCGCCACCAAACACACACCTGCACAGAAGACTTTTGGAAGCGGACGGAACGGGGGGCGGGGGGTTTGGGGGCGTCTCTCAGTGTTTGCGCAAGCGTCATGGAGGTGCGCCACGCGGCATCTCGAGTTGACCAGTCACTGTAATTAGGTACCAGAGTGCCAGAGCACGCAGAGGTAGGTAAGGTACGGATCAGTCTATCACTAACAGCCCGGCTCCGCTGTGGATGCCGTGGGCTTTCACGACGCCACGAAAATAGATTGCAAGGTAATTCTCTTCTTCATTTGCCCATGTTTTATGTACGCGATAATTAATCATCCGGATTATTCTCTTGAAAAACTTCATACTCTCCACGATGCAACGTGGGGAAGCATCGAGGCAAAAGACTTTTGGAACACATCTTTCTCGCTGCAGGCGAGAGAATGACCCGCCCGGCCAACTGCGGGTTTATTAGATGACAAGAGTAATAACTAGTGGCGATGGATGACAGGGCAGTGGTCGTGCATGACGAAGTTGGGGGGGCGAGCAGATCAGCATGAATTGCTCCGCGCCAGAAACTTCAACGTCATGTAAATTATGTAATACAGCATTTCCTACTCGTCAGCATCAACTGTCCCATCGGGAAGGCATGATCACTGATCAAGACTACTCGGAATCAATTCCACAGCGGAACATGTGCGCGGCGCTGCGGCTTTGTCATTCATTCACCATGTCACGCAGTACAGGTCGTGCGGCAGCGGCCTTGGCAGGGCAGCGGCGGGATAGCCAAGCCTTCTGACAACCCGGCACCTGGGCCTGGGTTGATGGGTGCTGGGTACAGAGTAACATTGAACGCACTAATTCCCTAAAATAAATCTAAATAAATCTAAAATAAATTTTCAAGTGCTCTCTAGACCCTCTTCTAGGCTATCCCGCATACGGGCCCTTGAAACAGTCTTGAAAGCATTGAGGCTGGCGCTATGACCGAGTCTAGCCAGGGGCCTCTATTGTAATCTGCAGCGGCATGAGTCGTGTGTATCGGCGTTAGACACAAAACAGGCACAAAAATCTCATAGTTCTGTAATGCTGGCGGAGTTACTGTCCGACTGAGGCACACCACAAGACCTCCACGTCGATGATCTGCGGGGTCTCCAGACTTTTTTACTATTTCCCTAAGCCGCAGCTGGACGCGTGCTACGAAAATTCCGCACTTTTACCCCAACATTTTCATGGTATCCGTAGTCTGCCAAGTTCTCGTCGTCGAGCTTGCCATCATCAACAATTGGGTGGGCATCACGGCGCTACCCCGCTGGCTGCGAAATGAGAAACGTCTCATTCGCGCAGTCGCTCGACAGCACACCAACCAGCCTCGAGTGCGAGGTCGCAATCTTGTGAGCAGCATATTTTTGGCCCTACTAATCAATCTTGACGACAAAATGTTTCTCTGCCCGCCAGCTCTTCTGGCTGACGTGATTTTACAGCGCTTGATACTCATGCGATGAGTGTGGCTTACGACTTGTGGGCATGCCCGGAAATGTCGGCTGCCGTAAGAAACGTATTGCCTGCCGTGCCCGCTCAACGAAAAGTGGGAGAACAATGTCCACGGCTAGTATCTATTAGTTCTGCTAGCCGTGATAGTCGCCGCGCTGGCAAGACAAGTTGGCCAATCAAGTCTGTGTGCTCACTGGTTGTTTGCTGGCAGCACTGCGTCGGAATGAGCAGCCTACGCTATTCTGCATACTGACAGGCGTTTTCAACCGATTCAGTTTATTTGCGTCAACGACATGGTACGTGTTGTGCGTTTTCGCTCCACATTTATTGATAATCAAAGTGCCTGCAGGATCTTGATGCAGATGCGCCCTTGTATCTACATATAACGGCCTAACTGCACTTTAGCTAGGCAATTATCGAGCTGCAGCTGCGCCCACCAGCAGAAGCATTCCGCGTCGTGATAGCAATAGATGTGGTCAAGAGATTAAACTTGATTTTCTTTATCCTCGTTTTTTCCTCCTCTGCTTTGAGAACTGTGAATAGTGACTCTGCGCACAAGCTCTCGCCTCTGCAACTGGCATGCGTCACGTGTCAACACTCCGACCGATAAGCCTTATCCATCATCTTTTTTTTGCCCCACTACATTTTTATCACCAAATCGACATTGTGCGGCATCAAGGTTGAAGAAACAGCAGATTTGAATACGCAGCCGCCTGCTATACAACTCCTGTTACTTTTTGTACATTTCACCGACTCTCAATCACTTCTTCACACATACTTACACGCCACATCTCCTGGTTGCTCGCCGCTGAAGTACCAGCAACACCATGGCCACCCCGCCACAGGCCCCTCCAAGCGAGGCCCCCGCCGTGCCCACGACGACGACGACCACCAAGACGACGACCAGCAAACCCATCCATAGCCTGGTGCTCGACACAGGTCCCTTGATCAAGAACGATCCGACTGTGAGTGCGCTGCTCGCGCAGGCCGAACAACTATACATCCTGCCGTCCGTGGTACCCGAGATCCGCGACGCCGCGACACGGACCCGCGTGGAGACGCAGCTGCTACCATTTGTGACGGTGCGGGCGCCGCATCCCAGGAGCTTGGGCATTATCCGCGAGTTTGCGCGTAAGACGGGTGACCTTGGAGTCCTGAGTAAGCCGGATATCGAGGTCCTGGCACTCGGGTACGAGTTGGAGTGCGAGCGCAATGGCGGCGACTGGCGGTTGCGAAGCTCGCCAAACCAAAAGCAGGTCAATGGAAAGCCTCCCCAGAGAACGTCGGAGGCTGTCGAGACTTCAGCAGTGGGTTCTGCTGTAGAGAAGACAGAGGGTGCGGTTTACCCGGCCACGGAGGCTCCAGTCGAAGCTTTGGAGAAGCTCAATCTTGCCCATGCCGCAGAGACAGAAGAAGATGCTGCAAACACGGACGTCTCCCCGAAGGTTGATGCTAAGGACCATGCCGAAGAGACCACACCTGCTAAAGAGGAAGTCGCCGCCGAGAACGTCGTGATAGAGGAAGACGAGGATAAGGACGACGGGGAGGCGTCCGACGACGACGGCGGCTGGATCACGCCGTCCAATGTCAAGAAGCACAAAGGCCAGGACAACGGCTCAACCCCGTCTAAGAGCCCGCAGCGCACTCTGCAGGCCGCCGTGCTCACCTCCGACTTTGCCATGCAAAACGTTGCCCTCCGGATGAACCTCAACCTCGTCACGCCGACCTTTGCCCGCATCACGCAGCTCAAGACGTGGGTGCTACGCTGCCACGGCTGCTTCAAGGTGACCAAGGACATGGAGCGGCAGTTTTGCCCGAGCTGCGGCCAGCCGACGCTCATTCGCACCAGCTGCTCCACCGACGAGCAGGGCAACTTTCGGCTACACATGAAGAAGGGCTTCCAGTGGAACAACCGTGGCAACGTCTACAGCGTGCCCAAACCGGTGCACGGCTCGCCCCACGGGCGTCTGGCCAAGCACGCGGGCGGGCAGAACAATTGGGGCGCGGGCTTGCTGCTCGCGGAAGATCAGAAGGAGTATGTCAAGGCGGCGGATGCGCAGAAGAGGCAGAAGAAGAAGGATCTGATGGATGATGAGTTTCTGCCGGGCATCCTGACGGGAGATCGCTCGGGGGGTGGTAAGATACGCGTTGGGGCTGGCAGAGCTATCAACTCTCGCCGTCGAAGATGAATGTAGGTAGCCATGATTCAATCAAATGATGGAACAAAGGCAAAAAAAAACAGTGGAAAAGGAAAAGGGAAAGGAACAAGCAATGCATTATGAATCGGATGTCAAAAGTTTTACATGGATGGATGGGCAACAGCTTGGGTGGTTTATAGAGCATTTTGCAAGCAATATCATGATGATGGGAAATAGACACTCTACAGAAACCACATTGAATTCTGGCAGTAGTGATGAGTTTTGCAGTGTTTTATCATTGCGAAAACATTCCGTAGACGCCAAGGGGAAAAAAAATTGTATGAGAGCAGTCAAAATCCAGCCAACTGAACAGGACATGTAAAAAGCAAATTCCCAAAACGCCATCTACGAGAGCTAGATTCTACGCATTACGCTTTGAAGTTGCTCTCCCCTCCCCCTCCTTCACCTCGTGTTTGTGTATGTGTGTGTGTGTGTGTGCAATATGCGTGATTGCGCGAAAAGCCTACGCACAGGCCCGATTTACTCCTCGTCCTCTGTAGTCAACAGTCAGCTTTATCCAATTTTCACGACGGCCAAGGCTTTGGGGGAAGAAAGCGCACTCTGCTGGGTCAGAAGAAGGTTGAAGCGACGCTTCAGGGTAACGCGCTGGCGCGACCACTTGTCGTCGGGCGAGAAGCGTGCCGGGTGAGCGCTCTTGGTGACTTGGCCGTGGGCCACCTTTTTGAGTGTGTACAGGCGGTTGCCCTTGTCGTCGACGGTGTACATGAGATGCATGGCGGCGAATTGGGTGTGGTAGTGTGTCGAATTCGATGATAGAGCGGATGAGTAGAAGTGCGATTGGGTTATCCTGCGACGTATGATTGTTCGTGCAAAAAATATTCTCAAGATGGTGACTTGTCTCTCAAATTCGAGTTTAAAAAATTTTGAGTGGCAGAAATTTCGGCCGACAGAAAAATGAAGTGGGTCACCGAGCTTATCGATAACGCACCAGACGCAATTCAAGTAATCACGAGGGCTGACGCCAGTTTTAGTTGACAACAATTGAATCTACAGGTATAATTATGTGACAGAAAATGATGGTGATATTGCTAATATGCAGTCGTAAATCAAAACAGAACTCATAGGCACGTTGCAGTAGCCGTTACGAGGCGCAATGGGGTCGATGAGCGGCTGGCCGAGAGCTCAAATCGTGATGAAAATGAGAGACTAGAAAGTAAACGTGAAGAGCAGCTCATCACCCATTCAAAGGAGCGATTCTGCAACTCAAATGGCACTCGGGTGCCAGGTCATCTTTGGTCGATGGATCAAAAAAAGACCAACTAAGCGTCCATCCTTCGGACCGCAAGGCCGATTTACTCCTCCCCAACACGAGCACCCCTTGGACCTGCGAAGCCATCCTTCTCGAAGAAACGAAAGACGAGGTTATAGTCGTCAAAGTCGTGCACAATTCGGTCAACGCGCTTGTAGCCAGGGACAGGGTCAGCGAGACGCTTGCTGGCGAGACCGCGAATTCGGTCAGCACCGGCGCCGTAGGGGTTGGCCCGGCGGCCCTTGGCTTCAAAAAGCGTGACGCTGAAGCGGCCCGGCTTGAAAATGTCAACCACATGCTCAATAATTTCCGCAGTGTCACGACCGTTCTGTCCGCCGGGCACATTGGTTTCGAACGAAGCATAGGAAAAACCGTCCTCAGGGGTGACGTGCACGGTAAAGTAGTGGCAAGCCTTGCTTTCGCCGTCCGCATTGGGCGGGGCCGGCACGACACCATTGGCAGAGAATCCGCAGGGACTAAAAAGGTAAGCGTCGATGCGGGCATCGGGATAGACCGAGGTAGGGTAGACATTCGCCAGTCCACAGTTGTCAGAGATGACGGTGCCAAGAGCGTGGCCTTCGGTGGTGAGAGACTCGTCAACCACAGGCGTGTTGACTTCATCGTGCAAGTCAGAGTCGCTTCCGTTGCTGAAGACGTCAACTTCATCCAGCGGCTCAGAACTATCTTCATGGATTGCGGAGCAGCGAGCCTTGTTCTCAGCAGCCATCCTATCGCAAGCGACCGCACTCGCGTGCGAAAGGAAGAACTGCTTTGCATTCTCAGGATCAAGATCAGTCATGAGAATCTCCAAGGTCTCGTCAACATGCTCATCACCGCTCGACTCAATGAGACCAAGATCCGGGCTGTCGTCGGTTTCGATGATTTTCTCATTGGTCTCGGACTGAGGCGTGATGGGGGGAGTGAGCTCCTGGTTGGGCGGGGTTAGGTAGAGGTACCAATGATCACCGTTCATTTTGCCGACCATGTAAGCGCTTCCGTGGCCGAGCATATCGTCGAGGTACTTGACTTCCTGCTTCCAGCTGCGGTGAGGGCCGCGCTGTTGATCGGGGAAGAGAAAATTCTTGCGACTATAAAAGACGCGGTACGGGGTAGCGGCAGCGCGAATGCTGTCGACGGAGCTGGCGTTGCTAAACGGGAAGCCGGCATTGGCAGCAGCAATATGGAGAAGGCGCTGAAGACCAAGAAGAAGTGTAGTGGTACCGCAAGTCTTGAGAATCAGCTTGTGGGGGAAGACAAACATGCTCGACTCGGACAAGAGGTAGGCGTCGACAGTCTCGGACTCGAGAACGGAGAGAACTTTGCAGTGAACCATGTCAAGCATGGACTCCCAAGTCTCCTTGTCGACAGCCTTGAGACCGAGAGGAGAGGCATTGACAGGTAGAGCATCGGCGCTGGGCGCAAACCAAACCTCTAGAAGCTTTTCCGGGCCCTCAAAGGCGTTGCTTGAGTCCAGATCGGCAACAACATCGTGGTTGATGGTCAGGTGAGGAGTAGCCGAGGACGGAGAAAAGGTATAGTTGCTCGGGACTGAGTACTGGACCATGATAGCGGCGAGAGATGTCGGCCGGTTGGTGATTGTTTGAGGATTTGTTCGTTGACAGATTCTTTGCCCGTGTGGCAGAGTCCGCGGAGCACTAGCTGCCGCTCAAACAGACTTTGCGGCGTCTGCTTGAGAGAGTAGGCCCACAGGAAAGTGTTGAGTCTCGAGCGCTGGCGGAGCCAGCAGCAATGCGTTGGTGGGAAGGGGTATTGACAACGTCACGGAGGGGACGTTAGGGAGGTCGGAAGATGGAGTGCTTGAACCTCTTCTCGGGAGGAATTGTGGCAATTAGGCTGCAGTCCGATACCTATGGGGGAGTATCGGAGCTAGCAGACTTTGGGATCTGCTTTTTGAAAGGATAATACGGTGGTGATGCGGACGGTAAGCGGGGTATGTAGCAAGAGTCGTGCTATCGAGGCCTACAGAAGACAAACACGTTAGCGGGGGTGTTTCGGATGCGGCGTGGTGAGTTTGTGATTGGCATACTTTGACGGTCTGTTGAATAGGAAGCGCAGAGGGTCCGCTGGACGCATAGAAGTGCAGATGGAGATGGTGAAAGATTCGCGGACGGGCGACAGTCGAGGCGGTCACGGCCGTCGTGGTGTAGATGAGCAAGCTCGGGAGTTTAGCAGACGGCTTGCAACATTGGATAGCAAAACGCGAAGCAGAGCGAAGCAAAGCGAAGCGTATTGCGTGCCGATGGGCTAGGAGATTCAGCAAGCAGGTCTAGCTGTCGTCCAAGGCAAAGATGAGGGGAATAAGAGGACTGTTTATCTTTCGTGGCGGGCCACAAAAGGCGCAAAGTGGTGAAAATTTGTACGCAGAGTGTAGAGCACTGCAGAAGTCGAGTGAACAAGGAGTCAGAGCAAGGTAGCAGGAAACTCGCAGCCGCAGGGTACAGGGCGCGTATGTGTGTCTGATTGTGTGTTGTTTTCGGGAGACAATGGCTGTGCAATGCAAGAAGCCAGAAAGTTGGCACGAGAGCTGGATGAGATTTCTGTGTGTCCAATATTCGGGCGTTGGGCGAGTGGTGACGTCCCCACTGAAGCGGGAAAAATTCTTGAACCCCTGCGTACTTGGGTACCCGAGAGAGGGGGCGGGCACGGCTAGCTACCTACCTTATTCATCACTCGTCGCAGACTCTCATCCCATTGGAAGCGCCGTCTGAGCTGAGTTCTAGACATTTCATGCGTCGTGACAACGGATGTAACTTTTTCTGCCTTGGGGCTGATGTGCCAGTGCCTCGCAGCAGCCCGTTCCGAGGTAGGCGAGTGCATTTGCGTGCATAGGCATCAGTGATTCGCATCGGCAAATGGCATGCGTGAATGGCCATCAGCTCAAATACTAGCCTGACGGCATGTATCTCCTCCTCCATGTTGCAGGCAGGGCTTACACAAGGCATCCTATTACCAACTACCCCGAGCGCCGTGCGACTGGGCTTGTGACTCAGTGTGCCACCAGTAGCGCCGTCTGCACCATAGCGCCGCTGCTTTATGGGTTGTAAAAGGCTCTTATTTATGATAGAGATCGAAGGTCCAAGGACAGAGGATATCCTAAAATTTGGCTTCTGTCGCTGGATCAAGTGGCGGATGGGAATACTTATGTACTCTTTTTTGGCTTTTCATATACGCCGCTCGGCTTTCCCTCACCGTGAGTCACGATCCCATACCTCAAGTGTCATTTCTCATTGATAACGATATTGCCAAACTCCAGCCGTCTATATGTAATGGTATCTTTCAATCCGTATTTGTTCATCCGCTTGTTGACCCCTCCACCAGCCCGTGCGCTATGTCTTTGAACACATGATACAGCGAGCAATCCTTGTACTTTTCCATCAAGGAACCCGCATCATCGACGTTGACCTGCTCCGTCGAGATATCCTCTCCATTCACCTGGGTGCCCACCGGGTACCGCGGCCGCCTCCCCTCTTCCACCAACGTAATAAATTGCGCATCCATCGGCACGGCCCCGAGGAACTTGACGGCAAACTCCTCTGCCATTGCTTTGCCGCCCCCAGAACCGAATATATCGGTACACTCTGAGCAGTGTGGACACACAAAGCCGCTCATATTTTCCACAACGCCAAGCACAGGTATATTCGTCTTGGAGCAAAAGTTTAGCTCCTTGCGCACGTCAGCCGTCGACACGGCCTGCGGCGTCGTTACCACCACCGCCCCCGACACCTGCCCCGGGCGCGCGTCTCGCTGCAGTGTCTCCGCGAGCGAAATGTGCTCGTCCGACGTCCCCGGCGGCGTGTCGACGAGCAGATAGTCGACCTCGGGCCACAGCACGTCCTTGAAGAACTGCCGGATCATGGCCGTCTTCTTCGGCCCGCGCCAGACGACCGCGTCGCCGCGCTGCGGAAGCAGAAACCCGAGACTCATGGCGTAGAGGCTGCCGGACCCGGTCGCTGCGTCGGCGGCCTGCACGAGCACGGGCGCCCACCCCCCGGGCACTTGTGTGACTTTTGACGATTCGATCGAGAGCATTCGCGGGATCGAGGGCCCGGTCAGATCGATGTCGAGGATCCCGACCGAGTGCCCGGCAAGCGCGAGCGATAGGGCGAGCTGTGTTGTGACGGATGACTTGCCGACGCCGCCTTTGCCGGAGAGGATCTGCGTTGTCAGCGACGCGTAATGAAGCCGGATGAGGCGACTTACCAGCACAACGTGCTTGACCTTGTCCAAGCCCATAATGGCGCTGCAACAAGTGCTGCGGCGACGGAGGGTTTCAGGCTGGCAGAAACAAAATGAACCCAAAATCGAGGTGTAATGGCCGCCTAGTACGTGTCGTCGACGGTGCAGAGATCGCGGCGCAAAAACAGAATGTTGTAGCTTGATTAGTTTAGAATTGGCAAGCAGTCCGACAACGCAATCTACAAACAGGCATAACTACCAAGATACTTGCCCCGCCAAACCCACCAACCCAAATGACCCCGCCCACCACCACTCATACGTACATGCATTTCTAATCATCATCAAAAGCCAGACTCGCAACCATTCCCGTTTACGTAGTGAGCCGACAATACGTAGAGAGCTTGGCAGCATGGACCAAATCAATGCTACCCACAGTAGAAGTCCTCTCGCAGGTAGGTAAGCATATAGCTGTGCTACTGAGGGCTAAAAGGTTGTGGCCGGGCATGGTGTAAAATTTGCAGGTACCTAAGCCCTGCCGCTAATGTCTCTGTCGGCGCTACTACAATTGCTGGCGCTAATACTGCCACTGCCGCCACTGTCGCCTCAATCATCGTGTGTAGAAAATAGGTTGCTATCCGCACTATCATCGGACGATTAAAAAAAAAAATAAGTGTCAATCGTCTTCGTTGATGGTCATGATTCGCTACTAAAATTTCAGGCTGGGTCCTATCTATGCTTTTTCTTGTGTATCTCGGTTGCTCTCCTGATCGTCCGTCAAGAAGCGAACGGAATCTCTGCGATAAGAAACTAGTACGCTATTTGTACCACAACGCCCCAATAGCTCGCCGCCTTGCGGAACGTCGACGCCGTCGGTGTTTGTAAATCGCACTATTGGGCCTCCTTCTACCGTAAAACCAATAAACTCGCCTCTTATGGTTTCGTCTATTGAATCACTGGAGCTGGGGCCAATAGTGTTGCTGTCGGCGTTAGCTTTTCGTCCACGGACGATTCATTTGTTTACGTACACTCTACTGAATGGTGGTTCTGTTTCCGTATCTGCCGAAGGTTTCCTTCGCAGGCTCTGGAACCGCGCCTTTGTGCATAGGTAGCACATGTGCAGCAACCCTGCAATGACCAAGACTGGTGTGCCCAGTGCCAGCGCCCAAGGCCTATAACCTGTTAGGGATGCCGCGGAATTCGTCGCAGTATTGACCAAAGAGTACTCACGGGTGCCTTTTATCCCGTAGCGTATGTACCATGGCGAGAATGACGCCGACCATGGCAATGAGTGAGCCGACCTGGATCATGGTCCATGTCGACCAGTACAGGGACATGAGGTCCTCGCCGTCGCAGAATTGTAGAGCCAACAATGCATAGGCTTCCATAATTACAATGACAGTCGAGGATAGCACGCAGCCTGTGCATATGCCGATGCATATTCGAAGCCGCTTTTGCAGCTTGCCGGGGTATTCGGTATATTTTGACAGGGCATCTTGGGCTCTGAAGCTGGTTAGCAACAGCTAAGTGCAAGATGGAAGGCTTCTCACTTGATATATATGTATGATCCGAAGAATAAAAGTAGCAAGTTTGTGATGAACAATGTCCAGTATATCACCTTGAACTGCCACCGTCCGAGATGCGATGTGAATTGTGCATATTTGAGGCACTTGGGCGAACCGGGCCCAACATCGTCCATGATGTGTCTTTATTAAATGACCTGACAGAACCGCTTTGGCCTGTGTAAAGTGAAGGTATAAAAGAGTGCTAGATACAAAAAAAAAGTCTGCCTACGGAAATGACGGCCCAGATTGAAGACAGATCCTGCCCCTATTATACGCCCCCAGTCCAGTTTGTTATCAAACAGCTGGGCAATCCTGGGACGCCCAAACCGGGGGCACAAAGGGCCTATGTGCCTAATGCCAAGAACGGCGCATGATATTGAGATTCCACTCTCGCATCTGTGCTGAGACATTGTGTTGGTGCAAGCTTGGGTGTTGCGCGTACACCTTGTGGCCCCCACCAAAAGATTAAGCTTATTCTGCATGCATACGGGCGAGGTTTGACATTCAAGTCCTTGTCCTCCCGTGAGCCAACGATCAGCTGCCAGGGATCGTTTGCTATCGGTACAAACCGGTGAGGGATCTGCGTGGCTGAACAGAACAAGAGATAAAAAATAGGCAAAGACGCGGGCAATTGCCGAAAGTGTTGGCATCCGCACGCCCATCTCAGCAACCCGTCTTGGCGAGATGGAGCCGGAAGGAGTCAAATCTCAGCCTCCGGCAGCGATGCGCAGATCCAATCCAGTAAAGTTAGTGCACGGGGTGGCGTGCAGCCGCTCTTGGCGAATCACGCTGCGACAGAAGACAACTTCGACAAAGAATTGAGGACAACAGGGTACTACTCCGAGAGGCCACTAGGGCCAATATGCTTACTGCGCCTTGTTGCCAAGAGCGCGACCGGTGTTGGTGAGTCGTGACCCGCCTTCACCACCCATCTCAGGCGCAAAGGGCCGCCCGTGGCCGGCTTATCCATGCGCAGTGCCCCTAATACCCCCAAAGCCGTTTGAATTACTCGAAATACAATGTGATCCAGGATGGCGAAACCCGTTGAAACGTCGGGGGCAAAGAATATATATAAATAAGAAAAGCAACGCAGAAAGCACGCCGACACATGTGCAGGGCTGATCGTGGGTTACTCAAATGCTTTGTAAAATTTAAGCATGAAACATGACGTTATCGCGCAACGCAGATCCCGGTCTAGACTGGCAATGATGTGCTATGTAGCGTTGGCACCTGAGCTGGCTGTGCCATGTTGCGCACTGAGACAATTTGCGACTGGCTGCGACGCGGGAGGAACGACGTCGATGGTCGTTATCAGTGAGACACACCTCTTTGCCTTGGCGGCGACGATCGAAGAGAGAGGCTTCTGCAAGCCGCGCCGATTGTGGCGGCGCTGGCGGCGCTCCTACATCACAACACCGCCTACAAAGTTGATAGTTGGTTGCGACTATCTTTGGTGTAACCAGCCTATATTTGTCACTTTCCCACTGCAGATGACACCAACGGAGTGCTTCTAGTCCTGCGAGTCTATGACGGCTTGTACGTCTTTGAATTGAAAGTTCAATCGGGTCAACGCTAATGGGCTAGCTACCCTGATCTTGGACAGGCTAAAGAAGGGAGTCTAGAAGGAACATACGGCAAAATGCGACCCAAAGATAAAAAGCAAACCTAATGATCGTCCTCTTGTAAACATAGATAGAAATGATATTTAAAACCTTAAGTAGAGATTTACTAACAAGATATACGTTTCATGCACTAATCAACATATCATAGGCTCATCTGACTCGTGGAGAAAAGTGCGACTGCTTCGAGCTGCATGTCGAAAAAAAGGTGTGTCAGCAACTCCCCCCAAGAACCTTGAAGATTCACTGCATTGACGGGTCAACTCCTGATGCGCAATGTCATGGCGTTCAACTAGCCACAAACGACTCGGATCGCAACGTCTCCGAAACTCGTCCAGAAGGCTTAGTTTCGTCATTCGAGGGAGGCCTACGTCAGTATCGAAGTTGATTCCTCTAAATGGGGTTAAAAACAAACTCAAGTATGACGTTTGAAACGAAGTTGACTAATCGCTACTCTCACCCCGTATTAAACTCAATCTCACTTGTCCGTGCCGTGTGGAGTGAATCAGTGCGCCCAAGACAGGTCTCGGCACGCTGTAGGGCCGATGCCAAGTTCCACTTGCGGGGGAGAAGAAGTAATCCTCCTGCTTATAGTGCTCTTGCTTATAGTGAAGTAAGCCCGTTAGATACGGGTGGAAGCTCATGACAGTCATTTTGGTATTGCTTTCCAGCCTTTGTGTCTGTTTCGGTCGCCGATAGTGACGTGATCATCCCCGCCGCCCCAACGTGGTGTTGGTTTCAAGAACCCCGGTATGATGGCGGAATTTCCGCAGGCACAGCAATCTTCACAAATTGGCCCTAATATGAAGTTTGGATGGGGGTTTTCAGACACCAAAATGCATGATGGAGAGACGCAGTAAACATATAAAAGCATCAGAGTTGTTTTAGTTGCTGATGCTGCTGGTGAGTAGAGACAACTCTCGCCGCAGAGGCCAAAGGAGGAACAAAGTACTACCCCATGCTTGAGTTTCTGATTCATTTGGATAGAGAGAACACATCATGCGGCCTCTGGCCCTCTTCTCTCGCTGCTATATTGCATGAAAACTGACTCTTTTCTCTATATAACACAGAGGCGTATAGAAGGAAGATAAGCTATAGGAAGACTAAATTCGTAAAGACGGTGATAATCGGTTCAAAGTTTTCGGCTTCTTGCAGCTGGCATAGGTCAAACTGAAGGTATTAGAGGTTCATGGAAGCACTAGTGACTACATCGACGTCAGCAGTCCTTAGAGGTAATCAAAATCTGGAGCAAGCCATTTCCCGTATATGCTCTTGCGGGCATACTTTGGGGCGCTCTGTAGACTGTGGTCATCCCAGGGAAAGACCTTCGTTTTGATCTAATCTAGCAAAGATTATATGAAGCGGCTTAACCTAAATTCTTTCATTGGAGTATAGCACCCTTACGAGACATATCATCACAAGCAAGGCTCATGTTTCGCTTCCAAATCCCGCAAGATCGCACGCACGTAAAAGCAAAAGAACTCATCAATAGTGCATTTCTAGCCGCTCGTAGTACCTTGCAGAGCTCTCGTAAGTCACGCTCGCTGAACAGGGGGCTCATCCAGTTCCCACACCAATTCCCTTGTTTTCCTCTGCTTCATCTTCCTGGTAACAAGAGTTTCCTGTGGCCAATATTCAGGCTGGTCAAGAATCAGCCACCACGGTGACGCGAACGAAAACTCGACTGGCGCAGCATAGGAGAATTCCAGATCGACAACGGCGACGATTTGCAAATTCTTGTCAACAAGGATATTCGAAGGTCGCAAATCATCACACCATAGCCGATAAACTTGCGCTTACCATCTTCCTCCGACTCAACCGCATCGCTGATGAGTCAAATGGTCAAAATGTAACTGCGCAAGCCTTTCGAAGTAGTCTGACGAGTCTTGAAATGTAGACTCGGGTAGTTTTGCACGCGGCAAGGATCCAATCGGTATGAGTTCACTCATAAACATTGATAGGGGTCGTTGCGTGACCTCCCATGTACAGTCATCAGTCTCTTCAAAAGCGCCTATCACTGGAAATTGCAGCCTAGACAGCTGTAAAATTGACCGCCATCTATTGATATAGCGTCTCAAGCTTGGCGGGGTCAATATTAGGGTCAAGGTTTGGCGGATCTTAGAGACTTCGCCCCGGAATGTTCAGTGCCTGTCCCATATCGGTGTGATGTTTAACGTATTCCATGATAATAAGTTGCCCAATCTGAAGGGGACTCTCTTCTCTTGATCGCTAATGAAGAATAAATGAGATCGTTTTAGTTGACTTTTCCTGAATTAGCTTTATCACGGCGACCTCATTCCGTAACTTTACCTCAGGAAACATTGTCGCGCCAGCTTTCGGGAATCGAATCACGGCTGAGCCACCATCCTCAAATTCCATGCAAAACTGCGCATTAAAGGAACCGGTTTTCAGTATTGATTACAACGTGGAAGTACCGCCACCCGATGGCCATGTCCTGAACCATGAACTTCCGCCACTCTTCTTCAATTCCCCTCACTTGCCTCAAAGGCAACATTATCAAAAAAGAGCCGCATGATAAATCAAAGAAATATAGCAGAGCGTAGAGGGCTAGCAATTGGGGAGGCAGAGTAAAGTCGTCTGCTCTGTTGTGGTGGTGTATTGTCACGGCCACGGCGAGTGTGACTGGGAGCCCCTTGAGCACTACTGGTGGGTGCCGACGCCTTAGGGACACATAACTTTGGCGGTCAGGAAATGTCACCAATGATGATACAAAATCTAAGAAAACATCCTCTCTAATGAAATAAACACTCGTTTCTACTGAAAGGCCTGGCTGGCGTGTAAGAGGGTTTTCTATTCTTCTAGAAAACCGTTAGGCAGACGGGACGACCCGCGCCACTGTAATACTACCTACGCGGGAGGGGGGTGTTTTCTGACATGCCCTCTGACATATTTTACTATCTGGCATGTTTTTACGGCATGTTATAAGGAAATCACACTTTTTAGCATGTTAAAAAAATTTCTAATATCCTATCTAAGAAGCCCGAATCTATGGTAACATGCCGTAATAATATTTTATCTATGAAAATCTGTCAGGGCATGTCAGAAAACACCCCCCTCCCGCGTAGGTACTGTACGTCCACTAGCACCCCTGCTTGCCCTGCCTCTACAGTACTACGTAGCGCTAAATGGAAGTCGCGCCAAGCCGCCGTAGTAACGGCTCATACTGGCTAATTATATTACGCGTGGGAGTCCATTTCTGCAAGCAAACTGAGTAATCCAGTTTCGAGTTATGGTTGAAGGTGGTGAGGGGTAGTCTCTGGCTTGTGTCGTGTGTTGAGACTATCCGTGGTGCGTTTGGCTCGGACGTCTGCGTCTACAGCGTTTTGGCTTCTGGAGAAACAGAAGGGCCGCTTTGATGTAGTGCTTTCTGGGGAAGAAGGATACTGCGCGAATACACCGTCCGTGGTTTTTATTCTAGTTTGTACAGTAGTAAGAGTGGGCGACACCCATCGCAGCAGCAAACCTTGAGTCGTGGATAAAGCATGCAGAACGGGGGGCGACTTCCACTTTTTGGCAGCAATCATGTCCCGATGGCCTCTCCCAACGAGTCATTATTGGTGACCGGAGGGTCAATTGCTGACCCAGTATGTCGTCAACAAGTACTGTTGCCAAGATAGGGCATAGCGATAGCGCGCCAGGGCTTGGCGTCTTGCGGCGGCCAGTCGTCGCGCTTCAAGAGCATGCACCAATTAGCGAAAACAAAGTTGGAAACAAACAACCGTCGTGAAAATGAAGTGTTCGGAGTAAGTGTTACCCGCTGTTATGATGGGGGGGACGTGGGGGGCAACTGTCCCGTTGGCGGCGCACGTCCCTTGGGCACAAAACACAGGATGCGTGCGCCTGGAACATACACGACGGCAGAAATCAGCGCGGGTAAACAATGCATGCAATGCGAAGACGGCACTTTGACGAACATGACTGGCAGCAATGCAGTCAGTCGGCAGCGGTGAGTCGCTGGCCCTTATCCGCCGTGCAGCTTGTTGGGCGGCAGGCAATCGGTATTTCGCAGCTCGACGTCGAACTATTGAATATGACGACGAAATTTACGGCGAAAAAGCATTGCGGGACGTTGGTATCGGAAATCGAATCTCGGAACAGTACGGAGTAAACTGATCAAGAAAAGGAGAGGAGAGGAGAAAACGGACAACGAGTTTGTTTGCTTTGGCCGAACTGCGGAGAAGGCCCGGAAAATTATCCCGTCGGTTGAAATGGCGTGAGCGTCATGGGCGGGGCAATTCGATGTTCATCCCACCAAAGCTCACCCGCCACCCGCCAACCTCGGACAAGGTCAGTAGTATTCGCCGGAAATAGTATGTGCAAAATAGTGGGCAAAATAAGAGATGAAACAGTGTGAGAGATAGTTATCCGTCTATTTTTTACCGGATTTCATCCCGTGGCACTAGTGACGGGCCTTTTGCGCCTTAAATAGAAATTGTCCTAAACATTACCTAATGCTCTGGCTGCTGCCATCGGATATAAAACCGACGCGACGGTGAATTACAAATTCTAGGGTCCCTCTCGGCTATTTCTCCAAGAAAACATTACTTAACTTTCCTCTATTCAATCACTTGATGTTTGGCATAAGCGTTGTTCATCTTGAGTGCGTTCTTAAGTGCGTTTTTACTACCAGCTTGCATCCTATCTTGGCTCGTCACAGGGTATAGCCAGTAATAGGCCGTACCCCATCTCCCGCTCCTCTTCCACTACCACCAGCGCAGGGCTTCTTTTTTGCACTTTCTCCATCATGTCCGTCGCGCTGGCCAGGATTCGACATTCTTGGTCCCGAAAAAGAATACCAGAACTGACAAGAACAAAAAATGCGCGTGATTCATCGGATTCTGCAGCCACGGAACCAGCAACCGTCCACAGCATTACGGCCCAGCCGCAGAGCCTCTCCACTACATCACCGCAAGTCAACATGCAGCCGGCCGACGAGCAGGCCATAAAACACTACCAACCCTTCCGAGGCCGCGTTTTTGCCATCACTGGTGGCGCCAGCGGCATCGGCTTCGCGACAGCCAAGATCCTCGCCCAGCGCGGCGCCACCGTGTGTGTAGCTGACGTCGATACAGATGCGATGAAAGCTGCCGCAGACTACTTCGCCGGCCAGGGTGTGGACTGTGATGTTGATCGCGTGGATGTTTCAAAACGTGCACAAGTTGATTCCTGGATTATGGGCATCGTGGCCAAACATGGGCGGCTCGATGGCGCGGCCAATGTAGCGGGCGTCATTGGAAAATGCCACGGCATTGCGACGGTGGCGGAGTTGGAGGACGAGGACTGGGATCACATTATTGGCGTCAACCTTACAGGGACCATGTACTGCCTGCGCGCTCAACTCAGAAATATTGAACACGGAGGGTCCATTGTGAACGTGTCGTCCATCCACGGTCTAAAAGGTGTGTATCCATCTTCCTGAACTATGGGGAAATGGTGTAGCGGCTAACGAGACATGTCATGTCAGGCTTTGCGAGACACGCGGCATATGATGCGAGCAAGCACGGCATCATAGGGCTAACCAAGGCCGCGGCCCTGGAAAGCGGCGACCGCGAGATCCGTGTCAACAGCGTCGCGCCCGGAGCAATCTACACGCCGCTCATGCAGAAGAATTGGGACTTCAACAACCGACCCGCCGACGCGCCGTTTGACGAACCCACGGCGTTTCGGCGCCAGGGAACAGCCGAAGAGACGGCCAAAGTCATTTGCTTTCTGCTTGGTCCGGAGAGCACCTTTGTGAGCGGCAGCGTGTACCAGGTCGACGGTGCGTGGATGTAAGAGGGGCGGACAACTAGACGGAGGGCACATTATTCTAGCATGAGACTTACATACATATCCCTCAGCGTGCATGTATATGATTTGAGCACTGCATGATGACAAGCTCGGAGATGTAACTACGTCTACGTTGAAGGTTTACGCCGTTAAGGTCATTTAAATATACCGTAACTAAGGTGCCGATTAAATTAAGGCTCACCACGTTAGTTAGTATTGTAATCCTTTTCGTGCTATTATCTCGGGTTAGATCACCACCTTGATTGTTGGCAATACACTTTCAGGGACTTCGGAACCCACACGTTCCAAACGATTTTTTCCTGGTCTTTGAACAGTATAGCCGGCTACCTATGTATTATTTCGCGTTTCGTCTTCTGCTAGTAGCTCATTTGTGTTCGGGTGTCTCCCAAAAGTCTCCTGGCGCTTTCACATATTCAGAACGGAAAGGCAGCTTCACCGTGTGAAAACAACGACTAGGAGAGCTTTTGGGGTCCGCAAACCTCCTCTCCAGCCAAGTGACCCAATCCGGCTCTGCAGCTTGTATTACCGACCCATGTGACTGTTCCGGATATAAAAGATAGTGAATCTCGTTTCCAGCTTCGCAAGACTTATTATAAGCTTTATTGGTGGCGCTTTCCAAGATTGCAGTATCTCGTCCACCCTGAATCACAAGAACTGGGGCCGGAGAGCGAGCTCCTTGACCAGCGGAGACTTGTTTTTGCCATTGAAGAAGAGTTTCCTCGTCATGTTGAAAACCTTTGTGATTAAAAATGTCTCTTTGGGCAATATCATAGGTCAGTGAAAAAGTAGCAAAGAGGCATGACTGCGCGAGCTTAGCCAATTGAAGGCGTGATCGCATCACAGTTGTCAGAAATGACCCTTGGTAACCATCAATCGATCGTTCAGCGCCCTCTGCCACAAAAAAGAGAAGTCCAGCGGCCAGAGTTTGGTTGACGTACTCCCGCATCATGTCAACAAAGTAGTTAGCTGGGGCCAAGGCAATGCTCCCGACGTAGGACGAGTCATTCTTGACAAAGGAGCTTTCTGCAAGCTTCCAAGCCGTTCCGCCCCCGAGGGAGTGACCTAAAACCATCCAGTTCAGGGACAGTTGTGCCCCAAAAAGCTCACGTGCTGCAACAGTAGAATAGTATACGTCATTGGTATGGTCTATCATGTTGAGATACTTATGAGAGGTATGATTGTTGCCTAGTCCAGCGTAGTCTGTTCCGACTACGGCAAAGCCTTTGCGAAGTGCTGGCTGCCAAGTGCCAAAGTCGTCAAGGGCAGGGCTGCTTGAAACAGCACAGCCGCGAAAGAGGCCTATAGTTCCGTGTGCGAGGGCTACCAAGTTATAGCGGCCTTCTTGGGTAGAATTAAGACTCGAAGGCCGCAGAGGAAAGGCAATGAAGCCTGTAACAGGCACAATGTCTCCGGTTGAAGTTACAGAGGTGTATTGAATTCGAAAAGCTGTCACTCCAGGATCGACATTGAGCTCAGCAGGGTCAGTTGCCTTGAGCTTGAGAATTTTGCCGGGTTCCTGGCAGTTGGTGAAGTTTTCTGCCGTTGCGTAGAAGTCAAAATCAAAATTGTTGCCAAAAGTTTTTATGTCAACTTTATTAGCGTCACCGAGATTCTTTTGACAGAGCTGTCCGCAAGATAAAGATTCGGCGACATCCTTCGATACCCTGAAGTTGGAGGCCTGCGAAGCCTGTGAGAAACCCCAATCTAGGGATAGAACTAACAGCCTGTGTAATATCATTGCGAGGCGAATTTAATGCAAAGTAAGCGGATTGGCAATTTGTACCAAATTCAAGTCTGAGACTTTGTCAGATTGTATCAATGTAAAGAAAAGTATTGGGAGTGATACCCAGCTATATAGGTTCCAAAAGATCTGAATACAGTCCAAAGTAAAGTTTATATAGGTAAAGTATCGTAGCTGTAGAATAGCAATGCCAATCATAGATGAGGATGCGGCGCCAGAAACACCACGCGTGGGTAGATCGCACTTCTACCGATTTCGTGCTTGGTTCTTGATTCGGAATCCGAGGAATGCGGCGTGTTCCCGTGGTAAATCACACTTCTGCCGATTTCGTGCTTGGTTCTTGATTCGGAACCCGAGGAATGCGGCGCCGGAAACGGAGCACGAGCAACTGGATTGCAATCAAGTTGAATATATTACAGTAGAGCTACAGCTCAAACAGAGCTACGAAGGGCTGAATCGAATTCTTGTTGTAACTCTGGCCTCACCGAAGCGACGGAAAGCTATGTAAAGTGTGTACGCCGGCAGTGTGTCCAACAACCAAGTTACTTGGCTTAGGTTGCTTGTACTTGGTCGATTAGGTAATAGTCAACTATGCCCACGTAGTGTTGTGTGAAAGTTTTATATGCCTATCCGGTATCTCTTTCTACTGCAAAAACTGGCCCCGGTTCTGATCTAGCAGACACAGGTGCTCGCAGCACTATAAATTCTTCGATCTTCCTTGCTGGTACCTGCTAGCATACGAGACCTTGACCATACCACTCAGTAACTAGTCAATGAGGCCTGCTTTAAGTGATGGCCTTTATTCAACGCGAAACCTCATGGAACTGTGGGGAATGGTTGCAACTAATGGATTGATTCATGTACTCGAAAAGGCGTCCAAGGCGCCAGTGCTCGGGCTAGCGAAAGGAGACTTTTGCGTCGACAGCCCACTCGAGAAGCAGTCGCTCAATTCGAGCACCTGGCGATCATACATCGCCGGGAACTTGACGTAGCTCGAAAACTGGTTTTGACTCCATATAATCCATTCAAAGCACAGGAAACACAGGAAACCAATCTATCTACAGTGCCTTCCTACTCGAAACGCTAAAAGTTCAAAATTAACCTACATTCTAATATTAGATATTACTATTTACTTATATAACTAAAACTTAGTTATTAAATATAATAAAATAATTATTTCTCTTAATAATATAATATAACTTATTTAGACTAAATAACTATTTAAAATCTTTAAAAATAATATCTTATAAAGTTTAGCTTATTAAGTACTTAAGAATATTTAATTTATAATTATAAGTTATTAGTCCGTTAGAGAACGTACGTACATATCACGTTATAGGTGTTACGAACGCTCCTATATAAGGCACGGGCATACACCGTGGCGGGGTCAGCTATAGGCAGGACGCAGGAGAAAGGAACACGTGGTCACGTAACTACGTTAAAGTAATTAATAGATTACCTATTAATTACTATAATTAAGGATTAATAGAAAATTAGATAATTAAGGTAATTAGTCTTTATAGTAAAGATATAGATAGGTACTTAAGGGAAAGGTACTCTTATAA